TACCCTCCCCGCCCTCTCTCTCCATCTCTCGCTATCTCTTCTCTCCTTCTCCTAGTCTCTTCGCCCCTTCCCCCTCCCCAACTCCTTCCCTTCCTCTCCCTTTGCATCCCTCCTCACCCCCTCCCATGAGGTTAGCCGAGGTAAGGCAGCGCATCAGAGAGATGGAATTCACCCCTCACTTCACATAGATAAAATTCACTTCAGAGAGTTCACACCTCGCTCGGAAATCACAGATACGTTTGTGAGTGCCTGTCACTATGTTTAAGTGTTTATCTGCATGTGTTTCTGTGACTGTGTTTGTCTTTATTTTTATGACTAGGTTTCTATACCTGCTGGCAACTTGGGGCGGCTAATAGAAAGATTTCAATATCCTCCCCCGCCTCTCCCTTTCCCCTACTCTTTCTCTCTGTCACTCATTCTCTCCCCTTTCTCTCTCTCTTTCTCCTTCTTTCTTCCTGACTAACCCCTCTTCTCTTTCTCTTTTTCTATCTCCCTAACTCGCTTTATCTCCCTCTCCCTCTTACAGCCTCTCATATGAGCCCAGTGCTTCTCGTATTCCTCCCCCTTCTATTGCCTCTCACTATCCCTCTTTTCACCATTCTTCGCCAGTAATTCGCAGAAAAGAAGCTAAATGAAGCACACGAGCCAAACTCTGAAACCTATTAAGTGAAACCGTCAAAGGGTGTCTTCTCATGCAAAGATTATCTGCATATTTTTGTTGATTTCCCCGTACCGTAAATGCATTCCCTGTTGATTTTTTTATCTTTAGACTTAAGGCCTCAGATCAAATTGGTTCTTGATTCTTTGTCATTTACATCTGAAGTCTATATGACAGTAAGCTTTATTACTGTTGATTTAATTACTAATATAATTATTATGACAATCACTCTCTCTCCTATTTTCCTCTTCCTTTTTCATTTGTTTCCCTCTCCCATTCTCTCTCACTCTCATTTATCCAATTTCTCTCTATCGTTTACTCTCTCCCTCTCTTTCTCACTTATCCAGTTAGTTCCTCTAACTCATTCACTCAATCACTCATTCTGTCTCCCTCACTCAACTACTCAATTACTCTTTATCTCTTGCCCAAATACTTTCTCTCCCCTTTCTCTGTTACTTTCTCTCTTTAAATCAATTACTCTTTCTCTTGTAATTGATTAATCTTTGTCTCTCATGTACCCCGTTATAATGACGTAACTGGAAAGATAAGTAGTTGGCTGCTCATTCTTATCATTGTTATCACCTTACGCTACGTGTCTGTTCTTTTAAACGCTTTTGATTTTGCTAGTGTTTCCGCCAATAATCAGAACGAATAGAGGGCTGCCTCCAAGGAAGGAATCTCCAAGTTGCCCTTGAAGGCCAGTCCTCCAGGGAACGTCCGGCGAGAGGCAGCGGACCTCACGGAAGTGTCCTTGGACCCTTGTCATGGAATGTCAACTTCAATGGCATCCCACAGAGAGAATAAAAGGGAGGCAGAGAATATAAGAGAAAATGAGAGAGGGAGAAAGAGAGAGAACATAAGAATAAAAGAAAAAGAGAAAACATGATAATAAAAGAAAAAGAAAGAAAATACAAGAGAGATTGTGTGGGAGAGAATAGAAGAGAGAATGAGAGAAACAATAGAAGAGAGAGAGGGAAAGAGTTATAAGAGAGAGAATGAGAGGGAGAGAATATAAATGGGAATGAAAGAGAGGGAGAGAGAGAGAATATTATAGAGAATGAGAGTGAGAAAATATAAGAGTGAATGACAAAGAATGGGAAAAGGTTAGAGAAGAACTACGAGAGAGAGTATGGAAGTGACAGAAAGAGGAGGTTATAGTGAGAGATACAGACAGTGACTGGCCAACCCTCCCGAACGAGCCCACGCCGTCACAGCCCGGCCACCTTGATTAGACAGGCAACTCTTGCAGGTGGAATTCTATCCCAGGCCCGTCACGGAGTCTGAACTACGGTAATAGAGTCCACAGATAACATAGCTCTGCTGGGGAAGATGACACGTCGCTATTCAACCGCGACAGAGAGGTGTAATTCTAAACGATATTTATGATACTGATTTTAGTGACGATGTGTAATTATTAAGTCTTTTCCATTCGGTATGTCCGACTATATCCCCTTTCCGTGACCCTCTCCCCCTTCCCCCTCCTCCCTTGGAATCCACAGATCCTGAACCGAGTTGCCGGCGCTCCCCATAGTTACGCCAGGGGCTACTTACGAGGCAGGAGTTGGGGTCCGAGGCAGCCATCGTAGCGGTTGGGGCGTAGGTTGCGGTTGTTGTTGGAGCGGTGGCTCCTTGCGGCAGTTGGTGCTGCTGGTTGGAAATAAGCTCGCTGACGCCGCGCCATACGCTGCCTCCTCTTATCGGTGACCTTCGCTCTACAAACAACGGGACAGTCAGCCTCGCTCAGGCCCGGCAGCACGTGCGCTCACACCCTTACGACACACTCAAACCCATAACAAAGATATTTGTATGTGTCTGTGGGTCAGCTGAGGAATCCCCCTTCATGCAACATTACAATGTCCATCCATTAAACGATAAACACGCATTAGCAAAGCCCCCTGCTTACCTGACTTGGGCTGTTTCTCGCGACGTCATTGACGAAACGTGAAGGTCTCTAGATTTATCTATTAATCTATTATTTTAGCTTCATTCTTTTCAACTTAGGATAGTTTCTCTTTAAGTCTTTTAGTTCTTGGTACTGTTAGCGAGTCAGCTGTTTCCTATATGGCACAAGAGACCGGCGGAGCACCTCTGTGGATCTATCACTCACTCGGCTACTCTCTGCCTCTTATACAGTCTATTACTCTGTCTCTTACTCAATACTTTCTCGCTCAATTAACTACTCTCTCACTGCCGCAATGATTTATGCTCTTATTCACTCTTTCTCTCTCAATTACACACTCTTTCTGTCTCCTACTCGATCTTTCTCTTTGTCTCTCATTCAGTATATATCGCTTGCCCACTTAATTTCTCTCTCTCTGTCTGTCTCTCATTCACTCAGTTACTCTCTCTTTGATTCTCTCACACTATCTCTATTGTTCATAAAATCTCTCAGGCCCAGTCAGAATTTAAACATCACTTCACATTCAAATCACACCTCACTCGTGACAGAATTCAAACCTAGGTTTATGTTATTGTGTATGTCTGTTTCTTGAGTTTATGTGTATGAGTGTATGCATTTATATCTATATGTATACGCTTATATATGTGCGTGTTTGAGTGTGTTTATGTGTTTTCTGCCTCTTTCTTTGCCTTTGTGTGAGCATGTTTATATTTCGTTGCTTTTCTGTGTCTTCAATAGTATGTCTGTGTGTGTGGCAGTGATTTCCAAACAAGGTTCCGCCGACCTTCACCTGGGGATCCGCGATAAACCGTAAAATAATTATGTGCTTTTACAAAAGGATGGTGATCTTAATTACTATTCAATAACGTCATTTTCCAGACACCAAGATACTCGGGCGTGTCAGTCAGTACACTGTAATAGTAATAGGAACAAGTCATATGCACAGAATTGAGAGAAAAAGGAAGAAAACTCTATTCCCGGGCGGTCAGCCTCCGGGCTAGTACAGTGGTAACGTGTCGGCCTCTCATCTGAGGGGTCGGCGGTTCGCGCCCCGCCCAGGCGCGAGAAGTTGCAATTGTCGCCTGGAGGTTACTGCTGTGGCCGGGCACCACGGTGGGTAAGGACTAAGCTCACCCGAGTCAACACCTGCTGACACACTGATAGGGAGTCGACATACGTCGGCACAGGCCGGGCTCCCCCAAAGCCCGGGCGAGGTCCACAGCTTCGCATATCGGACTTATCCTTATCCGGGCGGTCGCGGCCTCCAATCGTACTCCGCGAGTCGGCGACTCAGGGCTTGGGGAGGAGGGGACGCAGCCCCGTGCGAGGGGCAGGCGTGTCACGAGCCCCGGCCCAACTGTTCTCTTTGCACTGTTCTTTAAAAAGGATATATATATACTAAATAAGGAGTCCCTTGGAATAAGAAAAATTATTAAAGGGGGTCCTCCAAGGTGTCAAATTTGAGAATAAGTGTGTGAGTGAAAGGTGTACCTACTGTCTACCTGGGACGGCGGTTGATATGGAGACAAAATCTCTCTCACGAATTCCCTCTTCTTCTTTTACTCTCTCTTTCCCCCTACCCCTCCCTCCCATCTCCCCTCTTCCCTGCCATCTCCCTCTCTCTCCTTTACAATCCCCTTGTCTCTTTCCCTTTCTCCCTCTGGCTTTGCATCCCTCCGCACCCTCTCCCTTGATATCAGCCGAGATAAAGCAGTGCTGTAGATACGCAGGACAACGCTGATGGACAAACAACACAGAGGAAAGGACCATCCAAACGACGCTACTGTTTAGGTCAACACCGATGTGTCACACCTCAGGCGTCGGAAAACAAGCGTTAGATAAGCGGTGATACTTTGGCTTGGCTCGCGAGAAGAATTTATTGCCGTGGCAACCGGATGCCGTTATGTATTGATTTCCAAAAATTTGCATTTGCATGTTTACAAACACAGTTTATGTCTTACGTGACTTATTTTCTTAAACCTTCCTGCCTTTGGCTAAATTTGTCTGGAAGCCATCGCCTCAGTCAGAAACAGAGGCGACTGTCTCTGTGTGTGTGTCAGTCTGCGTGCGTTTCTGTGGTTCTTTTTTGGGTATGTCTATATATGTATGCATGTGTGTGTAATTTAATGTTTGTATGAGTGTGTCTTTGTGTGTGTAAAGTGTACCTGTTATCATCTCAGGTTGGCTGATAAAAGATAAGGTCTATCTCTCACATTCTGCTTCCCCCTCTTTCCCCCTCCACCCGTTTCCCCCACCCTTTCTGTCTCTCTAATAACTTTCTTCTTTCTCTCTATCTCCCTGATTCGCTCTATATCCCCCTGCCTCCTACAGCCTCTCATATGAGCTCAGGGCTCCTCGTATTCCTCCCATTGTCTCTCGCTTTCCCTATTAACACCATTCTTTTGTAACCAGTGATTCGCAGAAAAGAATCTAAATGAAGCACAGGAGCCAAACTCTGCATTTATGTAGTGAAATCGTCCAAATCGTCTCTTCCTGTAAAGAGAACTTTATAGATATTTTTGCTACCTTCCCTCAAATGCGTTCTTTGCTGATTTATTTAGTTTTATTCTTGAGCGATTCTTCTTTTACACGAAATACATTTTCCAAAAATAACTTTTTTTTTTTTCTTTTTTTTTAAGATTGTATTTTCCCCTCATTGCAAAATAAACAAATAAATAGATATCAATTAATCTTTTCATCTCACTCTCAATTACTCTGCCATTTACCCAAATGCTCTAATTCCTTTACTCAATTACTCCATTCTCTATATAACTCACCCGCTCTCACTCACTGATCTCCCTCTCTTTCACTTACGAGCTTACAGTACCGTAACTGAAAAGATAAGTAGCTGGCTGTTCATTCTTATCACCTTAGGCTGCATGTCTGATCTTTTCAGCCCGTCCCGAATCAAAGGCAGATTTTGCAAGTGTTTCCGCCAGCAATTAGGACGAATAGAGCGCTGCCTCCACGGAAAGGTTCTCCAAATCGCCCTTGAAGGCCAGTCCTCCAGGGAACGTCCGGCGAGAGGCAGCGGACCTCACGGAAGTGTCCTTGGACCCTTGTCATGGAATGTCAACTTCAATGGCATCCCACAGAGAGAATAAAAGGGAGGCAGAGAATATAAGAGAAAATGAGAGAGGGAGAAAGAGAGAGAACATAAAAGAAAAAGAGAGAGAATACAAGAGAGATTGTGTGTGAGAGAGAGAATGAGAGAGCCAATAGAAGAGAGAGATAGTGTGTCTGTGTAAGGTGTACCTGTTGGCAACTCGGAGTGGCTGATAAACAGATTCCGCTCCCCCTCTCTTGCTAGCCATATTATCACCATTATTTCGTCGCTAGTGTCGTTTCATACAAAGATTATCCGCATATTTTTGCTGCCTTCCCCCTAAATTCATTCCTTGATATCTTTTAGTTTTAGTCTTAAGCGCTCATATCACTCTCACAAAAAAATATTTTGCGTAATAACTTTGCCAAAAGATGGAGACTTCTTCCTCATTACTAAAAGAAATGTAAATTTATTGGTTCTTAATACTTTGTGTTTACACCTGAAGTTTATAGCTATTATGAAGTAATCGATATTACTGCTGATACAATTTCTAATCTGATTATCATGACGATCTCTTTTTCTCCAATTGTTCTCTTCCTATTTCATTTATCTCCCCCTCTCTTGTTCCCTCTCTCTCAATTATCCAATTTTTCTATCACTCACTCTTTCTGTATCTCACTCGCTTACTCTCTCCCTCTCTTTCTCACTTACCCATTTAGTCCCTCTCTTACTCATTTACTCAATTACTCTCACTTACCCCGTTATAGTGTCGTAACTGGAACTCATTCTCATCATTATTATCACCTAACGCTGCGTGTCGGATCTTTTTAACGCTTTTCGAATCAAAGGCAGATTTCGCAAGTGTTTCCGCCAATAATCAGAACGAATAAAGGACTGCCTCCAAGGAAGGAATCTCTAAGTTGCCCTTGAAGGCCAGTCCTCCAGGGAACGTCCGGCGAGAGGCAGCGGACCTCACGGAAGTGTCCTTGGACCCTTATCATGGAATGTCAACTTCAATGGCGTCCCACAGAGAGAATAAAAGGGAGGCAGAGAATATAAGAGAAAATGAGAGGGAGACAGAGAGAGAACATAAGAATAAGAGAAAAAGAGAGAATACAAGAGACTGTGTGAGAGAGAATGAGAGAGACAATAAAGAGAGAGAGAGGAAAAGAGTTATAAGAGAGATAGAGAATGAAAATAAAGAACAATTCTACGTCGCCGACACTGGCCGAACCTCCGGAACGAACCAACACCTGCACAGCCCAGACAGACAACCCCTTGCAGGTGCAATTCTATCCCAGGCACGTCACAGAATCTGAACTACATTGTAGCTCTGCTGGACAAGTTAATATTGGAAAAAAAATCTTGTCGCACGTCGCTATTCAACCGCGGCGGAGAGATGTAATCCTGAACGATCGTTATGATCCTGATTATTGTCACGACGTGTGATTATTATGTGTCTTTTCCATTCGGTATGTTCGCTTATTCCTCCTTTCCGTGCCCCTCTCCCCCTTCCTCCCCCTTCCCCCTCCTCCCTCAAAATCCACATACACTGAGCCGAGTTGCCGGCGCTCGCCAAAGCTACGCCAAGGGCTACTTACGAGGCGGGAGTTGGGGTCCGAGGCAGCCATCGTAGCGGTTGGGGCGTAGGTTGCGGTTGTTGTTGGAGCGGTGGCCGTGTCCTTGCGGCAGTTGGTGCTGCTGGTTGGAAATAAGCTCGCTGACGCCGCGCCAAACGCTGCCTCCTCTTATCGGCGACCTTTGCTCCACAGATAACGGGAAAGACAGCCTCGCTCAGACCCGGCAGTACGTGCACTCGCCCTTACGACATACTCAATCACTCACTCGGCTACTCTCTGCCTCTTATGCAGTCTATTACTCAGTCTCTTACTCCATACTTTATCGCTCAGTTAACTACTCTCTCACCCACGCAATCCCCCGCCATCTCTCTCTCTGTTTCAATTACACACTCGCCCACTCAGTTTCTCCCTGTCTGTCTATCTCTCATTCACTCAGTTATTCTCTCTGTCTCTCCTTTATTTACTCTCTCTTTGACTCTCTCACTTTCTCTTGTTCATAAAATCTCAGGCCTAGTCAGAATTCAAGCATCACTCACTCTTGACAGAATTCAAACCTACGTTTATGTACTTGTTTCTGTTTCTACGGTGTTTATGAATGTAAGCATTTATATCTATATTTATGCGCCTATATATGTGTGTTTATGTGTTTTCTGTCTCTTTATTTGTCTTTGTCTGAATTTATATTTCGTTGCATTTCTGTGTCTACAGTAGTATGCGTGTGTGTGGCAGTAATTCCCAACCGGGGTTCCAACGACCTTCACTTGGGGATCCGCGATAAACTGTAAAATAATCATGTGCTTTTCCAAAATAACGGTGATCTTAATTCTTATTCAACAACGTCATTTTCCAGGCACCAAGATACTCGGGCGTGTCAGCCAGTGCATTGTAATAGTAATAGGAACAAGTAATATGTACAGAATTGAGAGAAAAGGGAAGAAACGTGTGTTATTGCCTGGCGGGTTGCGGTCTTCATTCGTACTCCGCGAGTCGGCGACACAGGGCTTGGGGAGGAGGGAACGCAGCCCCGTGCGAGGGGCAGGCGTGTCACGAGCCCCGGCCCAGCTGTTCTCTCATCTTCTTTGGACTTTTCTTTAAAACACACACACACACACACATATATATATATATATATATATATATATATATATATATATATATGTATATATACCAAATAAGGGGTCCCTTGGAATAAGAAAAATTATTAAAAGGGGTCCTCCAAGGTGTCAAGGTTGGGAATGAGTGTGTGTGTGAGGTGTACCTGTTGTCTGCCTGGGACGACGGTTGATAACGAGATAAAACCTATCTCTCACGAATTCCCTCCTTCTTTTACTCTCTCTTTCCCCCTACCCTATCTCTCTCTCTCCCTTCTTCCCCCGCCATCTCTCTCTCTTTTACAATCCGCTTCTGTCTCTCTCTTTCTCCCTCTGCCTTTGCATCCTTCCGTACCCTCTCTCTTGATCTCAGCCGAGTTAAGGCAGTAGTGTAGATACACAGACAACACAGAAGAAAGAACCACCCAAAGGACGCTATTGTTTAGGTCAACACCGATGTGTCAAACCTCAACTGTCGGAAAACAAACGTCACTGTCTCTCTTTTTCTATATTTCTTTCTCTTTTACTCTTTCTGTTTCTTGTTTGACTCTCTCTTACTCTCCTCTCACTTTCGTCTTTCTCTCTGTCTCTCGCTATCTTTCCTAACCTCTATTTCTCTCTCTCTCCCCCTCTCCCTCCCCAACTCTCTTTCTAGCTTTCTCTCACACTATCTTCTTCTGCAACCATTTCTCTGTGTCTTTCCGTCTCTTTCTCTCATCTTTTCTTTTTCGCCTCTCTATCCCTCTCCCTCTTTCTCTTCTTTGCCCCCATGTCTCCCCTCTTCCCCCCTATCTCTCATTCTCATTCTTTCTCCTTCCCTCCCTCTCTCCCTACCTCTGTCTGCCTTTGCATGCCTCCTTCCCCCCTCCCCCTTGTCGTCAGCCGAGATAAGGTAGCGCTACAGATAGTTATGGAAATACAGATATTAATGAAAAACCTTACGCGTGCTGTTGTGTTTATGTTTCTCTCATTCTCTTATCTTTCCTCCTGACTCACTCTATCTCTTCTCTCCATTCTCTCTAACTCTCGCTATCTCTCTCTCCCTCACACACTCTGTCTCTCAATTATTTACTCTCTCTCTCAATTGCTTTCCCTCTCTTTCACTCGTAATTACTTCTCACTCTCCCAAGTACTTTCTCTCTTCATCCTCAATTATTCTTTTACTCTCCCAATTACTTTCTCTCTTCATTCTTTCACTCTCCCAATTACGTTCTCTCATTCTCCTAGTTACTCTCTTCCATTCTCACTCCATCTCTCTTTTTCTCTCTCCCTTTTACTCTTTCAAGACACCTGCGTGTTTCCTCCACCTCTGACCCTTGGAACTTAGAGTGACGTAACTTCAAAAATAAGCAGCTGACTGGGCTTTCTTATAATCTGTTCTTTAATCGCTTTATAAAACTGCTCATTCTATTTCCTCTTTATTCAACGTTGCTTTCGCTTTCATTCGCCTCCTGCTTTGTGGCCAAGCTTTTAGTACGTCTGGGCAGAGCGCAAGGCTCTCTCGCAACCTGCCACCTCTGCCACTCCAAACTCCATGCTTTACGGTGCCACTGACACTGTACCGACCCTTCGCAAGTCTAGTACATTGGTTGCGGTTAGCTCAGGTGTGAATGCCAGCCTCTAGTAGCATTAGGCCGCTCGAACTCTACGGGTCCCCCGCCACCTGTTTCCTTAACTCCGATTCAGGTCAAGGCAATCGGCCGAGAAAAGAATCTAACGATTGGGATAATCAATAGAAAGGAAGAAACCAAACACTGATCAAGATGCCATAGAACACAAACAAATTCTACTCCTTTCGGGCGACAGGCTCTTTGCAGCACAATCCCCTCAGTATAAGTATGCTTAGATCTCGACCTCTTCCAGTTCTCTTTCCTACTTCAAGGCCCTGTTTATGTCTTCGAACCATGGCCAAGAATTCATGTGCGTGCATGTGTATGTGTATACACTGCATACACGTAGATGTGTGTGTGTGTGTGTGTGATTCATGTATGTGCGTCCTTGTGTGTTATGAGTATGTGTAATTGTTTTTGTGCGCAAGAGTACGTATGTATGTACATTATATGTGCATGAGTGAGTGTATATGTGCGTGTATATATGCGTGTGCTTTTATGTGTGCACATGTGAGCGTATGTGTGTGTATGCTGGTGTGGGTCTGTATACACAGTATGCATTCATCTATACGTGTATGTGTGTACACGTAGATGAGTGTGCATGTGTGTGATGTATGTATGTATACATGAGTGTATATGTGTGTTATGAGTACATGTATTTATTGTGTGCTTGTAAGTGTGTGCGTGTGTTTATGCTTGTGTGCGGCTATTTGTGTGTACATATCTATGTACGAGTATATGGTCATGTACATATATGTGCGAGTGTGCTTGCATGTGCGTGTACGTGTACGTGTGTGCGTGTATGTGTACCTGTACGTGTATATGAACGCGTATGTGTATGCATGCATGTATGTGTATGAGTGCGTCTACCTATATGTGTGCATATGCATGTATGCGTGTGTCCAGAGATGCTGTAGCTTTCCTGAACTAGATGATAATATGGTAGATAGATAAAAAAAAAGTAATACTATGCATAGAGTTATACGTCAAACAGGGGCAGGATACGCTATCATTCGTACTCCGCGAGTCGATGGCACAAGGATAGGGGAGGAGGGACGCAGCCCCGTGCGAGGAGCAGGCGTGTCACGAGCCCCGGCCCAGCTGTTCTCTCATCTTCTTTGCACACATTTCGTTAGAAATAATTCATATATACCAAAAACAGGGGTTCCTTGGAGTAAGAAAAATATTAAAGGAGGTCCTCCAATGTGTAAAGGAATCACTGGTGCAGGTGTACCATTGTCTACTTGGGGCGGCGGCTGATAAGAAGATAAAATTTCTTATCTCTCTCCTCTCCCCTGTCACTCTCACTTTCTACCCTCCTTTCATCTCTCTTTCGTTCCTTTTTTGCCCCCACTCCCCCGTCTCTTTTCCTATTTCCCTTTCCTCTGTCTTCTCTTTCGCCTCCCCCCCCCCTTTTCTCTTTCTCTTTGTCGCTTTCCCTCTAATCCTCCTCTCTCTCTCTCCTTCACTCCCTCCCTCCCTCTGCCTTTGCATCCCTCCACACCTTCTCCTCCCACTTACGCGTCGGTGATGTTTGGCATCAATCGATTGTGTTAAATTTATGGCGAACAAGTTGCAAGTAGTACAAAGAAGGGAAGTACAAGAAAACACACGAATATGCTGAAGGTCTTTTCGCATTTACTGCTTCATCACGGCATGCCCGGGCTGCGACATCAATCGATGCAAATCTGCAGATAAAATGCATGCGTTGAAAAGGCTCCCTGTTTTTTGTGCTGTGTACTGAGAGAGCTAAGATTTTTTTCTCTGTTTCTCTTGCTCACTTTCTCTTCCTGTCTCTCTTTATTTCCCCTCTCCCTGATATGCTAACCTATACATATATATTTTCATTGCTCCCTCTCCCGATCACAATTTTTTTTCCACTTATCTCTCTATCCCTCCCCTTGAATTTTTATCCCTCGCACCGACTTTCTCCTTGACTATTTTTCCTTCCCTCGCACAGAGACACTCACTCTCTCTCTATCCTTGATTCTCTCGGTGTCTCTCGCTCTCCCCTCCCTCCCTCTTTCCCTCCCTCTCCCTGATTCTCTCTTATCTCGCTCTCTCCTCTCTCTCCCTCGCTCGCCTATAGGACGCTTCTGTTTACGGCAACAACACCGACGCGTCACGTCTCAGGCGTCGAAAAACAAACGTCAGATAAGCGGCGATGCCTTGGCTTTATTGCCGTGGCAACTGGCTGACGTTCATCTAAAACTTGTGTTAATGTCTATAAATACGCATTTACATACGTACAAACACACTGAATGTCTTCGATACCTTGTATCCTTAGACCTTCCTCCCTTTGGCTAGATTTATCTAGAAGCCGTAGCCTCTGTGAGACACACGAGACAGAATTCACAACTACCTTTACGTATGCTTGTCAGTATGTGTGCGTGCCTGCATTTGTCTGCATGTGTCTGGGTGTATGTTTGTATGTGTTCAAGTGAGTATATGTATTTAAATGAGTGTGCTTGTATGCGTTTGTAGATGTGCGTATTAGAATGTGTTTG